CCGATCTCAATGTTTCGGACAAGCCCGCAAAAATCTATGATATTCTTCTTCGCTATTTCAGTGATGCCCCCTCATGTCCCCCCTCGCGGACTTTTACGGCACTTTGCCGAGACACAAGGAGAATCCAGTGGACTACTGGATAAGACTGAACAAGGCGGCTGACAGGGCACATGAAGGTTTGTGGAGACAAGGTAATGCCCCGAGTAGTTTGAACAAGGAGGTGGCTCTCATGTTTGTTAAGCATTGCCCCGACCCTGAACTGTCCTCCACATTTAAGTGGAAACCCATCCATGAGTGGTCCTCAAAAGATGTTCAGTTGAGAATTGACGACTATCAGAGGGAGTTACGGGCAAATCAGAGAGCATCTGGTACAACACAGCTGGGAGTGCATGCTGCTGCTGTGGCTGATGAGCAGTTTATTCCGTCTCGTGTTGCAATACCTGAGCAGTGCCGTCCAGCTAGTCATCTCTCTAATGCAAATGGTGCATTACAGTCTTCGCACAATCCCCTTGGTTTTGCCTCACTCCCCGCACCTCAAGTTGTGTCTCAAAACAAGCCGGACACTTTTGCCTCTGCCCCTGTTGTGCATCAAAACCTCCAACAGTCAGAGGAGAGGTTAATGAGTCGCATGGTTGAAATGTTTCAGGGAGTGCTGGATAAGATTCAGCGGAACAATGGGCCCCCTCGTGTTCGCCAGCGCCGTGCAAGGGAGCCATGTTGCAGGGTTTGCACTGACACAGGCCATTCAACAATATCACACTGCATGTCAGAAAGGCTCTGCTTTGAGTGCCTTGCCCCCGGCCACACTAGACCCAAGTGCCCCAATGTAAAATCTAAGTCTGCCCCTCCCCAGAACCAGGGAAACTAGCTGACCTGTATTTTGCGGGAGGCGGTACGGGTCCTGAGTTGAACTCCCAATCCAATACATGTTCTGATGCAGAATCCATCTATTCTTCAGCCCTAGAGTCCAGTCCTGAGCATGAGACTGTTGTGTACCAGAATATTCAAAAAGTGGGCAGTAGTGATAGCCTTTTCTACACAACTGTGTCGTTCAGTGGTTCAGTGAAAATGGGTGGGATGCTGGACAGTGGCTCTATGGCCTGCAGCATTAGTGAGGGTGCAGAACATAAGCTGAGGGAAGCTGGTGTACTTATTGATGCAAAACGGTTTACTGCTGAAGTGGTTTTGGTGGGCTGTGGTGGGCTTCGTGTTAAACCCAAATGTGCTTTTGAGGTTGAGATGGAAGTCTACGGTTGTAAAATGTTAGTCCCCACACTCGTAGTTCAAGGCCAACATGACGATGTGATTCTTGGTGCAAACGTCATTAAGCATGTGTTACGTCAGTTAAAACAGTGTGATTCATATTGGCGAGCAGTGTCCAGTTCTCCCATTGACGCTGAATCGCTGCAGTTTCTGTCCATGCTCGCAGGTTTGAATAAGTGTTATGGTGACAACATTCCAGACAAAGTTGGTACAGTGCGCTGTAACTCAGCCACTTGCCTTGAGCCTGGGCGTGAGTATTTCTTGTGGGGTAAACTTCCCAAGGGTACACCTGTATCCCCAGGGGCTACTGTTATAACCGAACCCACCTCCTCACGCTCAGCTCCAAGAGGTGTTATGGTCGCCAAGCTCGTCACTCATCTGTGGGGCGATATGTGGGTCCCTGTCAAAGTCATAAACACCTCAAGCAGAGCCGTACTGATCAGACGTAATGCTAAATTGGCCGACGTACACACCTGTATGGCTCTTGAAGATATTGATCCTGTTGAGAATTACAATGTAACTGAAATGTCCAGCAACCAGATGACAACTGTGCAAACTACTAATCTGGAGACTGTCAGAGGTCAACTCCACTCTATGGGCTTATCTAATGTTGATGTTGACTCATGTGAGGTATCAGATGGATGCAAGAGTAACATGACTGATCTAGTTTTGCAGTATCAAGATATCTTTTCCCGTCATCATCTGGACTGTGGAGAAGCGAGAGGCTTTGTGCACCGCATAAGACTGTCTGATAACAGACCTTTCAGACTCCCTTACCGGCGCGTGCCACCGAGCCAGTACCATAAGCTGCTACAGGTATTGACGGAGATGGAAGAAAAGGAGATTATCAGTAAATCTAACAGTGAATATGCGTCACCGCTGGTGCTTGTATGGAAGAAAAATGGGGATCTTCGTATTTGCACTGATTTTCGATGGCTTAACAAAAGGACATTTAAGGATGCGCACCCACTTCCTCATCAGGCAGATTGTCTGGCAGCACTTGGGGGAAACTGTCTCTTTAGCACCATGGATTTAACATCTGGCTTTTATAATATGCCGCTCCATGAGGAGGACAGGAAGTACTCAGCCTTCACCACTCCAATGGGGCTGTTCGAGTACAATCGCCTCCCGCAAGGCCTCTGTAATAGTCCCGGGAGCTTCATGCGTATGATGACAAGCATTTTCGGAGATCAGAACTATCTCAGTCTTCTTTGCTATTTGGATGATCTCCTGGTCTTTGCCCCAGATGAAGAGACTGCACTGAAACGCCTTGAAATGGTGTTCAGTAGGCTACGTGTTCACAACTTGAAGCTTTCGCCTAAAAAGTGCTTTTTCTTGCGGAGGTCCGTGAAGTTCTTGGGCCACATTGTTGATGAAAGTGGTGTCTCAACAGACCCGAGCAAAGTTGAGAGTATCTCCAAAATGTCTTGTGCTGATTTGATGGAGCCTGACGGTGTAACCCCATCCCCCAAGCGTCTGAGATCGTTCTTGGGCATGGTGAATTATTATCAGCACTTTGTACCTGGGTTCTCTGCCAAAGCCAAGCCCCTGTTTGATCTCTTGAAAGGCGAGAAAAAGAAAGGACGCACCAAGTCCAAACTCCAATACAAAAAGTTGTTTCCCACTGACTGGACTAGTGTTCATGTTCGAGCCTTTGAGAACCTCAAGACCTGTCTGTTGGATGCGGTAGTCCTGGCACACCCTGACTTCGCACGCCCCTTTGTGCTCTCTACCGATGCCTCTCTAGATGGTATTGGTGCAGTTCTGTCTCAGGTCAAAGATGGTGAATCCCATGCGAGACCCATAGCTTTTGCGAGTAAGTCACTGTCCCAATCTCAAAAGAACTATCCAGCGCATAGGCTAGAGTTTTTAGCCTTGAAATGGGCTGTGTGTGACAAGTTTAGTCATTGGCTTAAGGGACACAAATTTTCAGTTTGGACAGACAACAATCCACTAACTCACATTCTGACCAAACCAAAACTTGACTGCTGTGAACAACGCTGGGTGGCGAAGCTTGCCAGCTATGACTTTGACATAAAGTATGTCCCGGGCCCGCAGAATGTGGTAGCCGATGCTTTGAGTCGTGTCCCCTTTGTCAAGAGTCCCGTAGGCCAGAGGTTGTTTGCTGAGCCCTATCATAGCCTCCTTGGTCAAGTCAAGGACATGTCGAATAGTTCTATTCAACATGCATTTCGTTCTTCCAGTGGTTGTGGTCTCGTCCTGTCAAGTAACCCGCAGTCTTTGGGCCAAATGCAGTCTGACGAAGTCTCCGCTGTGTTGCAGTCACATGTATGTTGGGACGCTGGCCCTAGAGTTCGTGCCATTGCTGCCTTTCAGAGTCTTCCACAGCTTGTCACTTCTGGGATTGACACCCTCCCTGCATACTCCAACAAGAGCTGCGTGACAGTCAGCTTGGAGACAAAACCGTATCCCGTGTCTTGTTCTATGTGGAGAGGAAACGGAGGCCAACTCGAAGAGAGAGAGCCAAAGAGCCTGTCTCTGTGATGAAGTACTTGAAGCAATGGGAAAAACTTTCTGTCAGTGATGGGATTTTGTACAGAATCTCAAAAGATCTCAGGACTGCGTCTAGACGCCACCAATATGTTGTCCCCGATACGCTCAAGGCAGAGATATTGCGTGGTGTACATGATTTGGCAGGTCACCAAGCCCAGTCCCGTAGCCTTAGTCTGACCCGGCAGAGGTTTTTCTGGTTAACGCTGGACAGAGATGTGAGGGACTATGTCCGCAAATGTCAACGCTGTGTTGTCAGCAAGACAGCTGATCCTGAGGGTAGAGCTCCATTGGAGAGTATTGTCACGTCCCGACCACTTGAGCTCGTATGTATAGACTTCTGGTCTGCCGAAGATTCTCGCAACAAGTCGGTTGATGTACTAGTGATCACAGATCACTTCACACGCATGGCACAGGCTTTCCCCTGTAGAGACCAGACAGCCAGGCAGGTTGCGAATGTCCTCTGGAACAAATACTTTTGTGTTTTTGGGTTCCCGGAGAGGATACACAGTGATCAGGGACCTAATTTTGAGAGTCAGTTGATCAGTGAGTTGCTTCGAGTCTCAGGTGTCAAGAAGTCCCATACCACACCATATCACCCCATGGGCAATGGTTCTGTAGAGCGTTTTAATAGAACCCTGGGTGGGATGATTCGTGCTCTGCCCCATGAAGCTAAAGTGGATTGGCCACGCAGGTTGCAGACGCTAACCTTTGTGTACAATTGTACTTCCCATGAGACTACAGGCTTTCCCCCGTTTTATCTAATGTATGGCCGTGTGCCCCGTTTGCCGATTGATGTGATGTTCAGGTCTGTCCTTCATGATTCCACTGTGTCTGGATATGATCGATATGTTGAGTCCCTTCTTGATGATCTGAAAGAGGCCATGGTGGTTGCTCAGAACCATGTAAAGAAAGAACAACACAGACACACATTGCTTTACAACCGGAAAGTGAAAGGATTGGCCATTGAAATCGGTGAACAAGTGCTGATGGCAAACAAAAGAGAGAAGGGTAAAAGGAAACTCGCTGATAAATGGGAATCGACAATCTACACTGTCCAGGATGTCAATCATGTAACACACACCTACAAAATCAGTGACAACAGCTCCGGGAAAGTAAGGATTGTCCACAGGAACCTTTTATTGCCTGTCAACTTCCTCCCTGTTGAGTTAGGTGACACCTCGGACATGGATTCAACACTTGCCAGTGGTTGCTCAGTTCAGAGTATGGATGGGACTGAACCGGATTGTGGAGGCGAACACGAGCCTGTCCGAGACCCGTCTGAGTCGGCGGACACTGAGATACGGACTGTAGAGTGGGTTACACAGTTGACGAGCCCAGACTCGACACGGGCAGACGTCGCTGACCTTTTGCCCCTTGACAGCCCGAGTCAAGCTGACTGTGACTCATCATGTGTGACTGGCTCTGTCTCCAATACTGGGACTGGACTGTCTTGCTCTAGTTTTGACAATAATACTTTTTTTTCTCAACCTACTCTTGACCCCCCTGTGACTGCCCCTGTTGGTCATCCCCAGATGCGCACTAGGCTCGGTCGGTAGTTAAACCTGTGAACAGACTTATACAGAACATGTCTCGCCAGGATGTTGTTCCGGACACCTTCAACGTCAAGGATGTTTGCAGAACTGTATTTCAGGCTCTTACTGGTTGAAGTAAAACATATGTGATTGTTCTCACAATTTTGACTGTTTGGATTAGTTCGGTTTTGTTTTGTTTGTCCCACTGTCATACTTTGAGCTGTTTGTTTTTTTGTTTTTTTTATGAAAATGGGGTTTTGTGGGGTGTAGAAGGCACCCTACTGCCAGTAGCTGGGTTGAGGGTTTGGATCCCCCCTCATTCCACTTCGTCCCCCAGGGATGCTTGTGAGTTGGTTTTCCTTTGGGTAACCCCTTGGTGTTGTTATTTTGTTGTGTCCTTGAAGGGACATTCCGTGTACCAGTGGCTCAAAATTGATAAAATTCAGTGGGGGTGGATGTAACGGATATAGAAATGCACTTTATATTTTGTTTAATATTTGGTTGTATTTTATTTTAACATGTAATATTGTGTGAATTTTATTATTTTGACATTTTATTTTGAAATTCCTGCTCCCCGGTGTTTTATTTTGGCGCTCAACTTCCCCCCCTCAGAGCCGTGTTGAATGCTTCAGAGGGTGAGTTCTGTCTCTGTGAGGGATACGTGTTTTCAATCATTTGGCTTTATTTTTTGTGGTGTTCATTAGGATATGTTTAGTGGGAATTGTATTGGGCTGTAGTGAGCGTGTTTTTGCACATTTTCTGGCGCACATTTTTAGTTCTTCTGTACTTTTTGTTTGACTAGCTAACCATGTGCTCACGTGCCGTTTTCGTTCTGTAGGGGGAGCCAGAGTCCACTGTGACTGACTTGTGTGTGTGTTGTCTGTCACAGGTATGTTTGATTTATTTTTATGTAAAAAAAATGTTTTTATTTGTGCATTTGTATATTTGTTTTATTTTCACTTACATTCAATTATTATTTGCTCCCCTCCCCCTCTCAGAGCCGTGTTGAATGCTTCAGAGGGGGGAGCCAGAGTCCACTGTGACTGACTTGTGTGTGTGTTGTCTGTCACAGGTCTGAATAAAATAGTCGACTCTACACTGTGTAGCTGTTGTATGTAAACGGCTCGTAGACGAGGTTGCAGCCGTTACACATGTCTAGCTTTAGCATAATAAAGAAGCTAGTATAACATGTCTAGCTTTAGCATAATAAAGAAGCAAGTATAACATCTCTAGCTTTAGAATAATAAAGAAGCTAGTAAAACATGTCTAGCTTTAGCATAATAAAGACGCTAGTAAAACATGTCTAGCTTTAGCATAATAAAGACGCTAGTATAACTTGTCTAGCTTTAGCATAATAAAGAAGCTATAACTTGTCTAGCTTTAGCATAATAAAGAAGCTAGTATAACTTGTCTATCTTTAGCATAATAAAGAAGCTAGTATAACTTGTCTAGCTTTAGCATAATAAAAAAGCTAGTATAACTTGTCTAGCTTTAGCATAATAAAGAAGCTAGTATAACTTGTCTAGCTTTAGCATAATAAAGAAGCTAGTAAAACATGTCTAGCTTTAGCATAATAAAGACGCTAGTAAAACATGTCTAGCTTTAGCATAATAAAGAAGCTAGTATAACTTGTCTAGCTTTAGCATAATAAAGAAGCTATAACTTGTCTAGCTTTAGCATAATAAAGAAGCTAGTATAACTTGTCTAGCTTTAGCATAATAAAGAAGCTAGTATAACTTGTCTAGCTTTAGCATAATAAAGAAGCTATAACATGTCTAGCTTTAGCATAATAAAAAAGCTAGTATAACACCCTTTTGCAATTCTCATAGTATACGACACAGAATAAAACACAAAAGTGGGGATAAATCAGTAGAATCTGGCGCCCGCGAAGTAGCGATTGAATCATGTTTAATGGTGTCATTTGCCCGGGAGTGTTCTTTATTAAAACAAATGATAAAAGTGTGTGTTTTAATGAACCCCTCGTAAAGACTTCGCCGGGACCACCTCATCCGGCTCCGGCTCCCTTTGTTTTTCTTGCACCATTTATAGAGAACGGAGTGACTTTCCCGACAGGCCTCTCACTCTCCATTTGCGCCCGCGGACCCCAAGGTCAAAATAAACACGGCCCCCCGACAGCGGCTTAAGTCAGCGGCGTCATAATCCTCCGGTAAATAATAGGCAGTGTCTGTATCTCCATTAGCCGCGACAAGGGTGATAAAGACACGGACCCTTCAGCAGAGGATTACCAGACAGAAGCCCTGCACTGGAATACTCAAATATAAACAACGGTTAACCTGCGATTTGGGGATTTGCGGAGAGAGAGAGTCAGGGCCTGGGTCAGTATGTGTTTTTTTCTGCAGAACGGCTGAAAAAGAAGCCATTTTGGACGATACATATTGTCATGATGGGATTTCATTTTTTTGAACTTTTTTTTTTTTTTGATCTATTTGGTTAAAGCTACTTTATATATAATAGGATTTTCCCAACATTTCAGGAAAGAACCAACCTCTCCAAAGGGATTGCCTACTCCAGCCTACGACGGGCTCTAGTCACGTATCACCAGAATGATTGACAGTTTGGAGGACCAATCATCTTGATCATCCACCTGGATCAACTTTTCTGTTGTCTCGCCGTTTTGACTTCTCCTTCCTGTCCCACTGAAGATTTGCCACAAATGTGATTCACCTGCGTCTCTCTGTAAAAATAATAATAATAATAATACATTTCATTTCTCAGGCACCTTTCTTGACACTCAAGGTCAATTACAAGTAAAAATCTCAAGTTAAAAGTAGCATGAACAGAAGATGGTGGGGGTTGTCTAAACAGATGAGTTTCGAAGGTCCTCCCACGTTTGTTCCTGGCTTGTTTTTTAGTTGTTCTATTGTCTTTAATGCACTGTGAAATAAATAATCACAGTGCATTAAAACGAGCGAAGGTAAAATCCCTCAGTCGAATGCACAGCTAAACAAAACTGTTTGAAGCCTGTCTCACATTTTCAGGAAGACCGTTCTTGATTTTTGACGCATGAACCTGAAAGGCTGCCTCCACATGTTTAGTTCTGACTCTGGGCACCAGCAGGAGGCCAGTCCCTGTGCTCCTCAGAGTCTCAGCAGGAGTTCAGTCCCTGTGCTCCTCAGAGTCCCAACAGTCCCTGTGCTCCTCAGAGTCCCAACAGGAGGCCAGTCCCTGTGCTCCTCAGAGTCTCAGCAGGAGTTCAGTCCCTGTGCTCCTCAGAGTCCCAACAGGAGGCCAGTCCCTGTGCTCCTCAGAGTCCCAACAGGAGTTCAGTCCCTGTGCTCCTCAGAGTCCCAACAGGAGGCCAGTCCCTGTGCTCCTCAGAGTCCGAGTTGGTTCATTTGACACTAACATGCTAATGCCGGATACAGAATCACTGCTCTATCCATCTGGAAAGAAGCCTGAGTCCTGGGTCTACAGCCTGTGTCCATCCATGGCGGTGGGTTCCTCTCTCACTGTGGGCCTCCCAAAGGTTTTTCACTGTTTTCTCACTGTTTTGTAAATTTGTATTATTCCTTGTCGATGCAGGAGGGTCTAAGGACAAATCCGGGAGTTTTAAGGACATTTATTAACATTGTGGTCATTGGTCATCCTCTTCCCTAAACAATAATGGTTCCTATGTGTTTTTTTATTATTGCATTTCCTGTCTTGTTCTTCTCTGATCTCTTGTTGAGGAATTGACAACTTTGTAAAGTCCTCCGAGACGACGGCTGTCGTGATGTAGGGCTTTACAAAAATATATTGAATTGAATGGAAGCACGTACACAGGCCTGAAGAGCTCTATTAGCGACACATTTCTCAAATGAAAACTCTTTGATATAAACCATTCTCTCCATAACATCTAAAGGCAAATTTATAATGTTAAAAATCTATAATACAATAGAAAAACAGATGTCTCGATGACGTCTTTCAAATGGAAATATGACAAATATGAGTGATTAGTTCAGTGGTGTATGAGGATTATTAATAGATCAAAGTGTGTTGGCCATGAACATTTTCTGCTCTTGTTCATTTAGATAAAGGTGGCTCATAAAATCAACGCCTAATGCTTTTCTCCCAACAGAAGCCATATAGGCCGAGATCAGAATAGCCAATTAGCTGCCATTAATGAATATTTGCATAACTTTGCGTCGGATTCTAGTCTCCGCAAGCTCAGGTTGTTTTCGTCAATTTCACAAAAAACACCTTTTGACAATTTCAATTTTAACACAAGCCCAAAAACATACACCATACCGTCATACATTATGCCTTCAACGTACTAAATCTTTCATATTTTGTGGCATGCAAAGCCCAAACACAATCAAACATAACAATTAAGCACAATTATCCAGTCATTAAACGCTAATTCGTTATTAAAACTGCGCGTCAATACTGGGCGATAATGAGGGGAGATTGACAGCGCGCTAAAGACTTGGAGTGTTTGACATGGATCATTCGCGGAGGCAGAGATAGACTCCCCTCAGTCTGTTTATGCTGATTAACCCTGGTCCCGAGGGAGTCCTGCGTTTGACCCGGCTCTGACTTGCTAATTGTGGTACAAGAGAGTCACTTTTGGGGACAACGGGGGGCCCAAGCTGGTGAAGGAGGTCCCACACTGAATGGAGCCATATGACCATTGAATATATAGAGGAGCTAGAGAGAGAGAGGCTGAGTTCTGTTGCCGGGGTAATAGCGGCGGCCATCTTGTGAGTTGAAATTAGTGGTGATTACCTCTAGCAGGGGTCTCCAACCTGTGGAGCCCCTTTCAGGTAGGATTTAGAATTTAACAAATGATCTTGGATGAATACATTTTGAGTCACTACATACTATCTATAAGTATAAATATCGTGTTACACAGTATTATGGTACATTTCACATGTGTTCTCCATGTTCTGTCGCATTCATTAGATAGATATTTTGTACGTCTGCAAAAAATAGTAGCTCTCAGCCTCTTATTTTGTATGAAAGTAGCTCTCTGATTGAAAAAGTTTGGAGACCCCTGATTTATAGCTATTCATGAGAGTTTGAGAATGTATTATACCCCCCTCGAAGAAATGTCGTTGCTTTTGCCTTTCTAAACTCATCATTGGTGGTTGTATGCAGCCATATATTGTCAATGAAAACTTGTTTCATATTTAAAAGTGATGATATAATTGCGCCAATCTGTGGACAGGTTGAATACACTTTTATTTTCATTTGCATATACATGAACTGGATGATTTTTGCCAAGAAGAATGTGCAGCTTTTCCATCGGAGACGATACAGACGAGGATACTACCACAAAAACATCCACGCTGTCAGATGTTAAAGGAGAAAAACAGGCTATTGAGAACTGGGGGATGGAGACTTCTGATCAGGGTCATCTGGGTAGTTGCTGTTCTAAAATAAATATCAACAATGTTTCTCAATTCTGAAAAAAGCTGATCTAAAGATGTGACCGAGGCCAAATACATGCATTAGCTCTGCAGTAAGTAAGTCAGTAAGTAATGTTTATTTATATACCGCCTTTCACAGACAGAGTCACAAAGCGGTTTACAATTGTTATTTTTTGGGCACTTGTCCTCTCACTCCACACAGAGATGGGAGCAGGGTCACCGAACAGGAGGCGCACGCCAGACCTATTGTACATATTTTTAGTGGTAGGGGAAACCAGAGTACTCGGAGGAAACCTATGCAGACACGGGGAGAACATGCAAACTCCACTCAGAAAGGCCCTGGTCCGACCGGGATTCAAACCCAGAACCTTCTTGCTGAGAGGTGAGAGTGCTATCCACTCAGCCACCATGCTGCCCCGGTGCGAGAGCCAATCTGTATCTGAGGGATTAGGATACTGTTCTGTAGCTTCTGTAACTTGTGATGCAATACTGAAATGTCCTATACTGTGAGAACAAAATATCTCTTAATCTTAATCTTTTTATATAGTTCTTCACTGGTCATGTACATCCTAGCACCAAAGTACATCTGTGACATGTTAGTGCCATATGAACCAACTGGGACTCTGAGGAGCACAGGGACTGGCCTCCTGCTGGTGCCCAGAGTCAGGACTAAACATGTGGAGGCAGCATTTTATAGATTTACGCAGCTAAAGTCTGGAACAGTCCTCCTAAAAATTTTAGACAGGCTTCTTCTCTGCATGCTCAAATCCAGGTTAAAAATATTTGTTTAGTTGTGCATCAAACTGAAGGATTGTATCTTCACTCGTTTTAATGTACTGTCAGTATTTATGATTGTAATGCCTTGTTTTCTTCTCGTTGTGTTAAGCACTTTGCGTTACCGTGCTACACAAATAAACCCGCCTTGTCTATCCATACTCTCCATTAACAAGTTCACTTTAAAAAACATGAAACGCTAAAAGGGACGTATCCTCACCATTCTGTCTCCATCCATCCATCCATTTTCTACCCTTTAATCCATTTCTGGGTCAGGGGGGTGGCAGTCAGAGATGCCACCCAAGTCTCATAGCACCAGCCCCTCACTGACCCTCTGCAGGTGGTGAGTCCACAGGAGGACGGCTGCTCTCTGAGTGTGAGCATAGCCTTGATCTTTCAGTGGGGGCTTTTGGGCAAAGTGGGGTTAAGTGTCTTGCCCAAGGACACAACGACAGCAGTCATCAGTGGGAGTCGGTGGAGAAGGTGCAGACCATTCTGTCTAAGCGCCAAAATCAACACACACACACACACACACACACACACACACACATACACACACACACACACACACACACACACACACACACACACACACACATGTATACATTTGTCCTGTATAGACCATTGCTTTTGTTGTGATGTCATCCCAATAGGCAGCGTCCTCTCTCCTCTCTCACCTCCTCGCTCTCGACTACAGGTCACGGCCCGAGTGCTGTTGCCAGGATACGCGGGCGTGGGGACCTGGGGACCGGTCCCTGGGGGCTTCGGCTCAATGGGCTGTGCTGACGGGGGCTTGAATGCAGCGGGTGACAAGGGGTGGTGTCCTATTTGTCCCTAAATGCTTTTCTATAGACCTCCGATAATAGACTGGCTGGCTGTCCGTGCGCAGGCCCCCATCACCCACTCCGTCTCTGTCTGCTCCCGCTGTCCTGCTTTCCTCACCATCATGTCTCCTTCTCTTCTCATCTGCGCCTCCGTCTCTCTCATCTTTTCGGCATCAGGCGCACACGAGTCGAGCTGTTGTTGTTACGGGCGACAAAAGAGCGGAAAATCACATATACATGAGGCCACAATAAGGACACAGAGAATACTAGTGATAGCAGTAGCAGTAATAATGTTGTTTATGCAGCACATGTCATATACGGCATTCCCAAAGTGCTGCGCAGTAGAAGGCTAATTCAAACAAATACACAGTAAAATAGGAAAATCAAATAAGAAAAAAATATATATACACATAATATACAAAAAAAAACATACACAAAATAATAAAACAAGATAAAATGACCATACAACTCACGCAGTATTAAAACTAAACACGGAGAGGTTGATTTTTGGATTCACGCTGCTAAAATCTGGAACAGTCTTCCTGAGACTGTTTAAATACAGTCTTAAACAGTTCTGTTTATCTGTGCATACAACTGAGGGTTTTTATATTTTTATCTTTCTTATTAATTCACTGATTATTTATGATTTTAGAGCCTTGTGTGACTGTTTCTATCTTGTCTTGTTCAGCAGTTTGAGTTGCCTTGTATACGAATTGTGCCATACAAATAAACTTGCCTTGCCTTTAAAGCCAGAGCATAAAAACTGCTTTTTCTGTGGATGGCTCTACAGAAGGACGTAGTGGTAGTATATATTTATTTATTGTTAATTTGGTTGGGACCATGCATGGTTATGAACGCATCTCTTCGGATTGTCGCCTTAGAATAATTTGTCCCAAACTCACTCTCACAAACACACACTCACTCACTCACTCTCAACTACTAATATTTTCAGAAGTAGGGGAAACCCAGAAACCTACGCAGACACGGGTAGAGCATGCAAACTCCACTCGGAAAGCCCTGGGAGTGCCCCAAACACTCTCTGACCCTACACCCGCCTCTTGCTCTTGCTCTGTGCTGAAACTATTGCGCTCATTTGAATTATCACAAGATTTTTGAACTGAATCATATTTGGACACAAGGCTTCGAGTGTTGTCGGACTTTTTGATTCTCTGATGTGTTGTTGGCGAATCGACGACTATGTAAAGTGTTTTCCGAGATGTCAGCTGCTGTGATATAAGTCTATAGTCACATAATAAAATAGACTGATGAATGACTTTTGTTTTGGCCACAGTAGGAGTCCAGCGGCGGTCAATCTAATGTCGTTCTGTTTGATGTTCCTCTTAAATCCTGCCTCACACACGCCGCTCTGACCGCCTTTTGATGGCTGCTGCTTGTTAGTGATGCTGCGAAGGCCCGGCAACAGGAAGAACTCTTTTAATGACACATTAGCGATCAAATAAAAGCCAACAAAGCCATGAAAGCCTCGGGAGACGTGGCTCCGAGGTGAATACAGATTGTGACTCTTTATCGCTGATTCTTTTCATCAAAAAGGTTTTTGTTAACGGTGGAAAAGTCAATGTAAGATTCATTCATTTTCACTTTTGTCCTTGATTGGGGTCATGATAGATGTCAGCGATCGAGGGAGTTTTTCGGCACTGGTTTGGATTGGAAGTCAAACTGTACCTTTTTGATCGGATGTGTTTTTAATGGTTGTTTATGTTGATTTAAATATTTCTTTATAACTATCCAAACATTTTAGCTTTTTCTTTGATTTATTTGTAATCATAGTAATTGATGAGGTTTATAAAGTGCTTTTTGGACACTCAAAGACGCTTCACGTGTTATTATTCTTTCACTCCGTAAACAATGGTGATAAACAACGACTGTAGCCACAGCTGCCCTGGGGCCAACTATTGTCAACCATTCACACACCAGACTCATTCTATGCAATGTGGGAGAAGTGTCTTGCCGAAAGACACGACAACAGTTTGTCACTTTACAGCTGCAGCCGCCGCAATGTGTGTTCTTCTTCGTCTCCCATCACAGTACAAATCAGGCCCCGCCCTGCTTAGCATCAGAGTTCTGACAAGATCTGGCTTTACATTTCACCATGTGCCATTGCATGATGGCTGCGACTGTAAAGTGCTTAGCTGTTGTTGTGTCCTTAAGCAAGACACTTCACCCACATTCTCTAGTGTGTGTACTGTATGTTGTGTGCGTGAGTTATTGGTGGTGGACGGTTCAGGAACAAACAAGATGTCTTATTTATAAAACAAAAAAGTCAGGCACCCTAGCTTTAACCTGCAACAGAAAGTGCATTGAAGTCCTTGGAAATGGCCAAACAAAAGCAATGAATTATAACATTTGTGGACATTGATCATCCTCATTATGGACCGATGGCTCTATGTGTTTTTATCATATCATTTTCTGTGTTTGAACTGTTTGATTCTCTGATCTGCTGTCTGCCAATCGACAACTTTGGCAAAGCAAGGAAAATGTATTGATAAGGTACCATTCATGCAGAAACAACCCAGAGTGCTTAACAGGCACAGAGAGAACAATAAAACAATAAAACATGATAGGAATAAAAACCATACAAAACATATTACACATACATATACAGTACACATACATATACAGTACACATACAGTACACATACATATACAGTACACATACAGTACATATACAGTACACATACATATATTCTCACAATATTATCTTATCATTATCCTTATTTTCAGATTGTTACTCTAATGTTATTTTCATTGTTATTGTTATTGTGGAATACGATGCAAGCTACTGTGACAATACAATCCCTTTTGGATCAATAAAGTCGAAGTCATAGATAAACACATAAACTATAAGTAAGTCCTCCGAGATAAGTACTGTTGTGATTTAGGGCAAAACAAAAATGAATGTAATTTATTTGAATAATGTATAATGTATATTGTAACGGTGCATAAAGGGGGAAAGCGACGAAAAAACAAAATTAACATTATTTCACTTATTTGTAACCTTAAAATTATAGTGTTGTATAGTGTGCGAGAGTGTGTGTTTACCGAGCTGGTGTGTGTGTGTGTGTGTGTGCGTGGCGTGCGCAGGGGTCAGGAGTGAAGACGTTAGCCGCTGGTCATTCATCACAGGTATGACACGCTCTTCCCTCCACTGCTCTACGCACAGGCAATGTTTTATAAAAGAATAACACGTCAGCGCGCGCTCACTGCTCATCCATTACCCCCGGAGCAGCGCGGGCCGCGGGCTCAGCGCGCACGCCGCCGCCTGCGCACACACATCTGCATACGCCCCGCACTGTCATTATTCCTCATTTCTGCTCTGACTGGACCAGGAATGTGTACGAAAATATTTGCACTAACAGCAGAAAGTGTGCAAAAAGGAAGGGAAATGATATCAGGGCCTGGTTTGAAGGCAGCCTTGTTTAAATGCCGTGATTACTGGACTATAAGGCTCACCTGTGCATAAGCAAAAAAAAATTAAATTTTTTTTTTAAAAAACATTAAACAAATAAATCAGATAAATACAATAAAAAATAATAATAAATACATAAAAATAAATACATAAATAACAATAATAATAATAATTAATACAATAAAAATGAGTATATAAATAATTAATAGAATAAAATAAATAAATACATAATTAACATAATAAAATAAATACATAAATAATGAATACAATAAAATAAATAAAAAATAAAATAAAAATATATAAATAACTAATGAATACAATAAAATAAATACATAAATAATGAATACAATAAAAATGAATAAATAAGACTGTTTTAACTGGTCTCAACATGATTTAATGATGAAGTGTTTAGCAGCGTAACCGTTATCGTCCATGCCTCAATCACCTTCATCTTTTCTGACAATAAACACTATACTTACTATACTTACTATAACTTACTTTTCTATACTTTTACTATACTAAAAATTGATGGATTCAAAACATAGTCCATGAACTCTGCTCTGACAACAGCTCGACTCTATCACAATGAAAATACATATATTAGCCGCATCGCTAGATAAGCCGCAAGGTGCAAGAAGTAGATAAAAATGAGTGGTTTATAGTCTGGATATTACAGTAGTAGTAGTTTTGGAAGCATGTATTCAAACCTTGTTCACGCAAGGTAGGTTTCTCACTCATCATCTGTACCTCAGTTAGCAGGTTTGTTTTGACTAATCCCTGTACGACTGAGAGCTAACGCAAACTTATTTTTGGAAGAGCGGTACTGATTAGACCCGCCCCTCACCCCTGCAGCCTCCTGATTGGTCAAAATTATTCCAATACCTTGAGGCTCCTCGTCATTGGTGTAACTATTCTCCTCCTGTAAGTCTTACTGCTTGTAAAGTTCTGCCAAGGGGAGGGACTGTTTTTAATATATTACTGTTGAAAAATACTTACTGTATATAATAGTGCAGTGCCCAATGGTAAAAAAAATACATTCTCTAAAAAATGAAATACATTTTAAGTTGGGAACTTCAAACTACTCTCTCATAGTGTGTGTTTGTGTGTGCGTGTGTGTGTGCCTGTGTACATGTTTGTGTGTGCTTGTGTGTGTGCATGTGTACATGTATGTGTGTGTGTGTGTGTGTGTGTGTGTGTGTGCAAATGTGTGTACGTGCACGTGTTTGTGTGCGTGCATGTCTATTTGAGCGCGTGTGTGTGGTTTGTATATGTTTGTGCGTGCTTGTATATTTGTGGACGCATGTGTCTCTGTGTGTGCTGGTGTGCGTAAATGTGCATGTATATGTATGTGTGCGTGTACATGTGTGTTTGTGCGTCTGTGGGTGTGCCGGTGTGTGTATGTAAATGTGCATGTACGTGTGTGGTTTGTATGTATGTACTGTATGTATGAATATGTGTGTGTGTCTGTATCTATGTGTGTGCGTGTACATGTGTGTTTGTGCGTCTGTGTGTGCGTGTCCAAATAAAGGTGTCACACAAACAGACTGCAGTCGCACACGGAGGACGAGGTGAAATGGAATCAGACTC